TGTCATTTATAGTAGTAATTTATTTGCATTCAACATATTCATCTTTATTCTAAGGGCAATCTATGTCTATTTTGGTCACCATTGTATCTCCAGCGCCACCTACTATAGTTCCTGGTATAGGGTATTCAACAGTCACTCACTCTTTCACTCAACAATAAATGCTATGCACTTAAAGTACAGATGTTTAAAAAAATGCTACCAAGAAACTGCCATAGTAATGGTAGAGAAGAAAGCAACAAAACAATGACAAAATAAAAAAAATATAAAGCCAGAAACTCATAAGTACTCTAAAGGATATGAAACAGTGTAAGGGTATAGAGATGTTTGGTAGAAGAGTGTTTCTGGCAGAGGGAAGAAAGAGTAAACACAAAGGTCATCAGGTGAGATGCTTGGTGTAGTCAAAAAGCAGTAAGATCGGTGTGGCTGGGGGTGCCTGGGTGGCTCAGTTGGTTAAGCGACTGCCTTCGGCTCAGGTCGTGATCCTGGAGTCCCGGGGTCGAGTCCCGCATCGGGCTCCCTGCTCGGCGGGGAGTCTGCTTCTCCCTCTGACCCTCTTCCCTCTCATGCTCTCTGTCTCTCATTCTCTCTCTCAAATAAATAAATAAAATCTTTAAAAAAAAAAAAAGATTGGTGTGGCTGGAACTATGTGAATAGGGAAAATAATGGTAAGAAATGAGACTGAAAAGAAAGAGGAAAACCATGTGTGGTCTTCTTGAATCACTGAATTCATGAGTGCTGAGAGTCACAATCTTAAAAGACTATCCAAAGGAAATATGTTAATATATTACAATGTACTAGATACTTTGTCAGGACAAAATGCATTTCCACAGAGAATTATTCTATCATAAAGGATTCTGCAATAGAGTTGTGATGACCAGTCACAAAGACAGAAAAAGGTAATTAATTGTATAAGGAAATTTATAATGATGCCACATAATCCTAAATAGAGGAATACTAAGATTTCAAAGGAGAGAAAGAATGCAATAAAAAGTTTTAAGATCTTTCTTAGGCATGGATGAACTAAAACTGGAAACGGAGGGGTTATTTAGAATTAGATATCAGAGATTCCAGGCAAGAGAAATATCATGAGTAAAGTATAAGTGAAGGGAATTCACAGTACGTGTTTAGGAGGGGTGAAGTCAATTCCATTAATTTTTGAGGAAAAATGCCAGGGGAGTGGTTTAGAAGCTAGGTGTGGAGGACTCCAAATATGGAGTGTGAATCTGCTCTTTTGAGATAAGTGTTGGATTAGGAAAACAAGCCACTCTATGTTCAATACAAGAAAGATTTGTGGACAGTGAATTGACAGGTGGTGCAAGTGAAGGTCAGGAACTTTATGTTAATGGTCTCAACCTTCAGTTCTATGTGAATTGTTCTCAAAAACACTCAGCAAAGGCACTCCATTCCCCAAGAACCTCCAGAAGGTCTCAGTCTCCAGCAGGGAAGTACACCGCTTTCAAAGGCTTGCAAAGCAGTTATTTCAATTTTCCATTCGTCCACTTTTCTGCTTTCAGCTGCTTGTGAAGTTGTACCCTTCACCTCTTCCACTTTCCATCCCCTACATGGATGCTTGTTATTGGCAAACTCTAACCGAGAACCAAATGGAGAGAGTATTTCTGGGAAATGCAGTTCCAGGAGTCTCCTCAAAAGGCCCGATGACCTTGGAGGGAAGTGGCAGTGATGATTAGTAGAAATAGACAACCCAGCAGAGAAAGAAAGATCAGATGACTGACATAGACTTCTGGACTTCCCATTCATCTTCACAAAAAGGAAATCAACCTTAGTATTATTCTTTCATATAACCTTTAATTTGAACAGAAGACTACTACTAAAATGAAAAACAGAATGAGAAACATTTACACAACACTGTTTTAGACAGAAGTCTATTCTAACAAATATGTGAAGATGACTCTTTTCCTGCCATAATATTATTCAGCTACAGGAACCCAAATGTCTTTCAAAGTCCCTTCATATGACATGATTATAAAATATTTGCTATTCTTGTTATTCTCATCTGTTTCTATTTGTCACTCTCTAATGCTTTAAAATATGATGTCCAAAATTAAGCACAGGTCTCATAATGAACTCTGACTAATAATAGAGGGGGGACTATTTCCTTCAATTATTTTGTTGCTGTTTATATATTCATGCAGCCAAAGTTTAAATTAATGTTTTAGAATTAGTTTCACACTTCTACCTAATACTGAGCTTCATTCAAAATTTTCTGGTATTTTGCACATGAACCACTGCCAAGTTGGGTCACCTTCCTGAATAGATTTTGAAATCATCCACACAAAATCAATAGCTGAAGCCAAATAACTGGGTGAAATTTCCAAAAGAAAGTTAGCAAAGGATATAAATAGAAAGACGCAGGCAACTAGCAAAGTAAGATCTAGCCATTCAAGGTCAAGTTCATATCTAAAAATTTTAGCAAGGAAATTAAAAATTAGAAAAAAAAAGTGTTACTTATAAAATAAGCAAATAAATAATAAGAGCCAATGAAGAATTTAGTCCCAGATGTACCAGGAAACCTGGGATGATTTGCTATATTAAAGCAGTTAAAAAGAAAAAAACTGATAATATTATAAATTTGCTCTCAAAACACAGATTGAATAGATTAGATGAGGACACATGCGTGATTAAACAAGGATCAGAAGCAAAGATATGGTGAAAAATTATAACATCAGATGCAAAACAGTCATTTTAAAGTGTTAGAACTGAGAGAAAATAGTGGTGTAGGAAGAAAACTGGTCAGTAAATTTTCTTCACTAAAATGGTAATCTGTAAGCATCTTGAAAATGATGGAGCTTCATGTTTCCAAAAGAATTTGAAACCATTTAATTTTCAACAGACATGACACAACACATAATCCATTCATAGTCTCAAAAATAAAGTAGAGTTGTTTAGAATGTTAAGAATATTAACTAGAACTCTTTTATATTTCGGTTTTAAATATATTTTACTATAGAATATACATTTTAAAATGTCTAAAGAAAAAATATTGTTATTGTTGTGTGATAAATTGCAGAGCAGTCCAAGCAGCTGCAGGAAAAATGTCTTTAATACTAAATTAATAATTTCAAACTAGACCAGAAGGGACCATTATCCCTCTGGATATGGAGGCATATTGTTCTTTGGCTTAGCTAAGCCAGGAACTCCTAATTGTAATGAAATGTGCATAATTAAATGACTGCAGTTGGACTTTGATATTTTGGCTGATGAACTATTTGTTTACATTGATTTTACATGGTTCATATAATTTCAGTAGCAGTACTATGCCCTGTCATGGAATATTTCAGAGGAAAAATTTGACAATAGAATTAAAAAGCATATATCTCCCTCCTTTTATTTGTTTATTTTCATTTAATTTACTAATCTGCTTAAAGGATTAAAGAAGAAAAATAAAATAATATTGAAATTCTGTATAATAATAACAATTAGAAGACTTTTAAATGGCTGACAGTCATTAGTGATCTGAAAAGATGTTGAATCTTAAAATAAGAGTTTTTAATAAGTAGCAACTATAAAGCTTAATGAGATTTAACTCATATAAATTCTTCCCTTGAGTTGGAAAGGGAAAGTTCTATATTCTACAATTGGTTGTTTCAATAATAACAATCAAATCATTAATAATGTTAATAATGAAAATAAGAAAAATGGCTAACATTTTATATAGGACTTACTATATGCCAGAAACTAGATTAAGTGCTTTTAGGATGATTATTTCTAGGGTATGAAATATTGTATGAATTGTTATAACTGATTATTCTATTCTAGAAAGGAAATCACATGAAAAAAATCCCACACCACAAAGTTCACACATTTAAAGTGTGCAATCCAAATGATTTTTGGCATCTCTATAAAGCTGTTAAAATACTTATGTATATATAGAAAAAAATCAAAGAGAAGAATATAAATAGATTTAAATCATTTTTGGAATATCTACCGAGTGATATTCACTCCATTTAAGCCCATCATTAAAATGGTACAGAAAGTCAGTTATAGAAAAAAAAATGTAGAGTGGTTGGTTTAAACATCTAAATATTTTCACTTACTATAGAAGTTCCCAGGAGTTTTGAAATCCAATATTTACTCTACCAATAAATACTTTATAATATATACTGTAAGTATGATTTTTTCATCCACAAATCATATAGGCAAAGTCATACCAAACATAATGTGCTTTGATGAAAATGTATCAGTGAGCTCAGTCTGCTATAATACAATACTACTGATTGGGTAGCTTAAGGAACAGGAATTTCTTTCCCATATTCAGGAGACTGGGAAGTCTAAGATGAAAGGGTAGACTGATTGGGGTCCCTGGTGAAGGCTCTCTTCTAGAGGCTTGCAGGTGGCTGCCTTCTTACTGTGTCCTCACAAGGTGGAGAGAGAGAAGAGGCAAACTCTCTGGTATGTGTCCATATAAGGGCACTAATCTCATCAAGAGGGACCCATCCTCCAGACCTCATCCAAACCAAATTACAACCCAAAGCCCCCATCTCCACATACTAACACATTGTGGGTAAGACTTCAACATTGAATTTTGGTCGATAACAACTTATTCCATAGTAAAAAGGTTGTAAGAAAAAAAGGCAAAAGAAAAGTTTTTTTGTGGCACAGACTGGTCACTCTTTTCTAGAAAGGAAAGGGAAAAAAAAGGGTAGCTGTGGAAGTAGATATAAAAAGATAGATACTCCAGGAGCAATGAGAAAGATTCACTTAAACAACTTCTAAAATCTTAAACAGTCTTTAATTGCTTTATGGCTTTTTTTACTATTTATAGGCAATGTAGATATAAAGTCCATTATGAATACGCTTTATTTTTTTTTACTTTGCTATTATAAAATACTATATGCTACATTGTGCCCCGTAATAGAAATGTGCCAAACTTGTAGAAGTCATTTTAAACAGAAAGAAGTCATTCGATGCAAAGACAGTAATTGTTTTAACCTCTGATAATACAGCTCTGCCTCTGTGATAAAAATACTAAATCTCCTTACCATTGTATAGCTGTGGGCTACCTTCATTAACTCAATACACCCTTGAGCGTCTGCGAAGGCTCGGATCCCCAGACAGTTGGATGGGTGCAACAGCTTCATGAGGAAGTGGCAACACACTTCCACTACTTGCGGAAGCTGAAGAAGGCACGCTGCAGCAAGAAGGTTTTCAATGGTGTCTTCCTTTAATTCCAAGCAACCTAAACAGTAGGTGAAGAGAATTACGAAACTGTTTAAACCACGTACCATTGTATTATTTATTTATTTATTTATTTATT